GATGGTACGTTAATACTGCCAAAGCATGTTGATTTTTATTGTAGAGAGTGATATAGTTAATGTTGGTGCTTCACTGTCCATGCTTACATTTCTCATGCTTTGGTGAGTTCCCTTGGTTCCTTATAGTCCTTTTAGTTTTTGTGTTCCACTTCTGCTTTGACTTTCCCTTCCCTTGACGCAAGTATGGCTGATGTGATCTGTGAAATAGGTCCCACGATTGCATGATGCCACTCACTTATTTGAAACACTACCTTTGGGAGGGCATAGTGGTGAGACACAGATCTGCTTCCGTAGTGTTTACATTTATGAAACGGGTGAATTTCACTTACTTTATGATAGAGATTTCCTCCAGTGGTTGGTCGCCTAGTTCCCTATGCGGCAGTGGCGGTGGCTAACTGTATCAACATTCCTTGCATGCGCAGCGGAGAGCTGAGCTCTGGCATTGACGTGACCGATGAGGACGGTAAGAAATTGGGCAAATCGGTTCGCACTGCTCGTGTCGCTATTGCCCAAGTCACTCTTTCTCGAGTTCTCATGGCCTCTCCTGGCATGGGTCAGTCTATTCTTTTTTTTACTAGTACCTATTTTGAGAGAAAGTTCATTGTTTTATAATGTTAGGTTTAGTGGTATTGACATTTTTCATACAGCTGAAGTGTATCTTATCACTTACTTCACTTTATCAAACTGGTCACGTCATTTTTAATCTTCGGCATGATTCTTACTAAACTGTTGCTGACCAATCGAGATATCAAAAATTTAAATTTTACTCCGCTTTTTTTATTTGACGCTTGGAACATTCAATTGGACCTTTGCCGACTATTTACTTTTGCTGAGACTTTTTGGTGAGCTAGGATGGGCCGGAAGCATTTTGATCCGCCTCTGAAGGTTTTGTCAAAATTACTTAATTATAATTCGTGATTATTCATTAAGTGCTTCCACCGTTTTTGATGGATGCTCTGGAACGCCGAGGCATTCTGCGCCGCTACCCTTGGATCAGTGCTCCCCTTCAAGTTGTTCTCTGCGGCATTTTGTAAGCACATTTAGCTTAATTTTCAGGTGCACCCTTTTATTGTTAGGGTAGGTTGTCTCATGAGATTTTTAATAATTTTTTTTTGTTCTCAAATAAATACCTTCATAATTTTTCATCTACGCAAGCCTCTTAAATGTCAGCACTAAACTGCGTCAACGCTGCGTATGATGTCAAATTAGGGTGTGGTAGAAATTAGTCAATTGCGACGTGGCTAAATTGTTTCTATGAGTATCTCGGTTAACCTTTCTGATTTACTCGGTTCATCGTTGTTTGGCTCTTGTATTGGTTCTTAAAATTGTTTTTGGATAATCATTACGGTTCCCAGTATCCCTTCATCGAGGCCCAAAGTAAAGCATTATAACCTTAAATCCTTCCACCAGATTTGCCTTCGATAGTCATTTGGAAAGAAAACTAATTTCAATTTGGCTTTTTTTCTAGCCTCACCTTCACGACACCCATGTGCTGCGCTCTCTTTCCCCAACTTAGCTCAAGACCATTCAACAAACTGGAGAGCAGCCTTCAGGAGAAGATAATCAAAGATCTTGGGGATAAACCTGTACCAAAAGTCGTGTACTACAACAAGGGTCTGTAAACTTCCCCGTTCTAGTTTTCTAGTAGTAGTGCTACCCAAATGGTACTCAAATGGAATATACGTTAAGACAATTCAATTTTTTTTGTATAACTTTAACTTCTCGGGGCGGAAACAGTGGACTTGTGTATGAATGCTCTATAATACATCACTTTATTCCGAACTTTAACCTTGTTACTGGGGCTAGAGCCTGCAGGTTTTGCCTTTTTATCGGTTGCGGTTTAGCACAAGAAATGCTTTTTCCAAGCTAGCCCATGCAACCTGCTATCTTCTAGGGACTCGAAACGCATGGCCAAGTCATCAGACAATGGAGCTCTTCTACTTAATTTGTTTGCATTATCGTTGTAGAATTAAAGGCTTTTACTTTGAGACATGGATAGTCGGTTTGTGTCCTCTCCTTTTAAATAGAATTTCAAGTATTGGGTCTCTGGTCGAACTCCAACACAGGGATGCTCTTAGAGAGATCGGTTCCCTTGGTATGCAAAAATGGTTCGTATTCCTGATAAGTACGTGGAATGAGCATCAAGATGCAGTCATTTTGTAAGCACAAAATGAAGCTTGGTAAGAGTATTAAGGTGGAGTTGGGTGGAAGTTGGGTCACACGTCCAGATGGGGAAGTGATTTCCAATGTTATTCGACATCAAGGAACTTCTGAGGCGGCTGAATCTCAAAAGTCGGCTGTTGGAGTGTGGAGTGTGACTAGTTCTGAATGGATGTTCACATGCTTTTTTGCTGCTCTTATAGCAACATGAACTTCGCAGTTCAGGCCTGTTCTGTTTATGTGACCAGTGCCTGGAGTTAGTGCTAATTAAACTGCAATACTTGGTGAATCCATATGAGGAGACGGTAGTGGAACCTCATGAAACACTTATAAGATTCCTTAAAAGGTAAATTGCCTCTCTGTCTGCAAGTTAGTGCTTGAAGTTTAATAGACGCAGTAATTATGACTTTAAAGTCGATGCCGTTAGCAATCATGCTCGAATCTTAACTCCCTCGCGACTCTTAATAGGGGTACGTCAGGAACGACGCTGGTGCGAAAATTGCATTTCAAGTCACACCTAAAGTGCACACTAGGAATTCCTTGAATAAGTCTCTATTATTTAAGGTACTCTATTCACCAGTTAATTACTGTAATATGTTACCATGCTGATGCATCTTTGGCACTTATCCCACTTCGGCTTCTTTGGAGACAGGACAATTGGCTGATCATAAAGATTTAACAGATTATGAAGTCAGCACGAATTTTTCAACTACAGTTGAGAGCATCGCTATGGTCTTCTTGTCACCAATTGATTTTAGAATTAGCGGCGATTTCATCTACGTGGTCTGACCTTGGACACTAAATTTTGCCACTTGAGAACCCACCCACTACCAGTTAGCCAGGCGTCACACGGATGTGAAAAGCGGGAGTAAAGATAAACAAAATACGGAATAGCCATATGTATGTGACGACTGAAGCCTTAAAAGTAGTGCAATAGTATGAAAAGAAGAATAAAATATGCAGCTCCCTCCTGCGTATGTAAGCCTCCGACTAGTGATAATGATAGTTACCTTTATTTGACATGCGATTGGACGACTTAAAATGAATAGTTAAACAGCCTTTAATAAACATGCACGATTATCTCTGTCCATGATTTTAGTTGGATCAGATCGTGGCGCCTTGTTCTTTACTCTCTTCGGCTTTCATCTCAGTCAACTTAGAAGGAGAACAGTTTGAGAACCACTTATTTGGCATTACTATGTAAGTATAGTCAACAGGGGTAGACCTACAAACAGGACATACGAGCCAGTCCTGAGCGAGATCCTCGCTTTTCTCGTACGGCATTTGAATTGAATTCGCACAGTTCAAAAGATTAATATGTGTAGCAAAGATTGAAAGTAATTTGGCATAAGTGCATTTGGTTTAGATAAAGTGAGGCTAAGTAGTGCGCACAAAACTTAAACTGGTATTTTGCTGGGAACAGTTTTGCTTCTGCCAGAGGTTAAAATCGGAAAACTGAGTTTTCGAGTGTAGCGTCCCGAGGCTTCCCACCGGGTGGAAGAAAGCAACAAGTGAGGCTGGACACATGTGTTCCGAAGAGATCAAAGCGACTAGGCCTGAGGATGGCCCTAAGGCCAGCCTACACGTGCAAGGATCAGACAAATCCTAAAGTGACCGCCAAACGTTACATTTAAAAGTGGTTATCGGAAAACTACGGGCTTCGAAAACCCTTAGAGCACTTATCTTGGTGAGATACTGCATACTCCTACAAAGTCAACAT